CTGAGGCTGTGGGTTGCACCCGAGGGGCAGAGTGAGTGCTCTGACTCACCAGAGTGTATGGGCGACTTTGCGTGAGTTACTGGCTTCTTCATTGGTGCTGTGGCGATGACAGCACCAATGGCTGGAATATCAGGGTGCTGAGATGACGATGCGGGGTGCTCCTTGAAGCCTTACCCATGGGGAGTGCCGGGCACGTCCTGAGCCCTCCCCGCTGGGCCCCAGTGTCCCAGCCTGTAAAGTGTGAAGTAGAGCATTGAGTTCATATGCGTCCTGTCAGTTGCTGTGACCTACACCACGATCGGGGCAACTCATGAAAGAAAGTGCTTCGTTTGGAGCTCACAGTTCCAGAGGGTTAGAGTCCGTGACCGTCACACGGGGAGCATGGTGGCAGACAGGCAGGCGTGGCACTGGGGCAGTAGCTGAGAGCTCACATCCGATCTACAAGCTCAAGGCAGAGAAGGCTAACCGGGAATGGCCCGGGTCTTTTGAAACCTTAGAGCCCACGCCTCTGACACACCTCCTCTAACCAAGCCAGGCCTCTCAATCCTTCTCATCAGTTCCACCAACTGGGGACCAATCGTTCAAATATATGAGCCGTTGGGGGACGATTCTCCTTCAAACCACCACAATGAGTGCATGTGTATTTGTAACATTAAGGGTGTTATGAGATCATGCGTACATGTGTGTACCTGAGTGATAACATATATGTAAACAAGTGTCCTAGTGATACCCAGTCTCCTTCTCTTTGGACTGGGACCCCCAGCCCTGCCTTGTCCTGCAGCCTCACAAAAAGCAGTCCAGCCTGGTCACACTTCATGGCAGGGACATACCTGCAGGTGTCTGTCAGGGGCTGTCAGAGCCCAGACTCTTCGTAGGCCACATCCTGAATTTGTGTATAGGCTCACACACGCATGCATATACACACGTGTATCAATGCACACATATGTAAATTGTGTGAGTGTGACACCCGAGATGTTGACCAGGCGTGCAGAGCCACAGCTTATGCGTGGGCTCTTGTAGGTGATGGCTGCTGGCCCCTGTAGGTCCGCAGAGCTCCAGGGCAGGTCCAGGCCACAGAACCTTCAGAACTTGTTCAGGCTGCCTTCGGGGCACAGAGCGGTTCTTATTTGCTTGCTCTGTCCATTTCTCCCAGCAGCCTTCAGCCGCAGGGTCCCCTGAGTCAAGATCAAGTATGGGGTGAGGAGGAGGTGTGTACAGAAGCAGAGTTGACTTGGAGAACGTGAGGCAGGTGTCCAGCCTTCTCGGTGTGCATACAAGCACACACATAAATTTATGGGCCCAAATTCATGTCCACATGCATACACACAAACAATGATTACACAACTTCTCCTAGGTCTCATGGACTCTAGCCACCGTCACTGACTCACACATATCCAAAGCCTTGTTGCTGCAGGCAGGCCTGCAACTCCAAGCAAAAGGGCCCATGCAACACCCTGAGCCTGGCAAGTGAGTTCCTGTCGCCACAGCCTCCCATTTAAGAAGAGGGCTTGTTGCTAGGCTAACAGAGGAGTCTGAGGAGTGCCCTCCCATGCTTCCTCTGCTGATGGAGACGCAGTGGAAGACATGGGCTGGGCGGGGTTTTTACCTCCATCTCATACTCTCCCTCAAAACTCCATCCACGGTGACTCAGCCTACTGAGGCCGCTGTTCTCACAGAGAAGGGAACTGAGCAACCTCATTCCATGAACTGTTTGTTCTCTAGCATGAATGAGTTGAATTTAGCTCTCAGGTCCCTGGGGCTGAGGCGGTGCTATGGGTACTGAGGTGTCTAGCCAGGTCAGTCAGTGGCTAAGAGCTTTCATCATGTCCACAGGCAAGCCAGGAGTTCCTTAGCTTCCCTTCAGCTTTCCCAGGCGCGGGAGGTGCTGGAGTCTGCAAGCCGGGCTAAAACTCTCCAAGAACTCTAGCACAGCGTGATACTCACCCTCAGGTGCCACATCCTCTTTCGGTTCATAGCCTGGTCTGGCATTGAGCTCCTGAGCTGGGGTCACCCTGGCTTACCCGCCTGGTGTCAGGCCGGGCTTGTCTGAAGAGGAGTTTTAATGTCAGTCCTGTCTCTGAAGCGAGGACATTCCTGGGAGAGATGATGGTGGAGTATAACTTGGCTCTCATGATGCCCTCTCCCACAGGGTTAGTCAGTGGCTTTGATCTTGAATGAACTTTCATTCCGAGTATGGTAGGGTAGTAGCCAGGCCTTATCCTGCTGGGCACTCAGGTGAAACAAGATGGGCTGAAACTGCCCTACTCCTGCACCCACCCCACCCAAGCATGGGGCCAGGAGGAGGTAGGCCGCATCTTTGCTTGCAGCTCCAGACACGTGAGAGTGGGGCTCTGTTTTAGCTTCCTTCAGCAATCCTCAGGCTGACTACCCACTAGGAGCAACAGTTTACCTTACTTGGAGCACCCTGGCTTCCCACTCTGCTGGGCCTGAAAGCTAAGTGTGGGGTATAATTATAACCTATTATGGTCAGTATCAGGTAGAGAGAAGGCCCCAGCTTGGGGTCAGAACCTTCTAACAGTCGTGGGTAACTGCTTGGAGGGGAGAGTACTGAAAATCATTTGTTCTCGGACTTATCTGTTGCTAGCACATACAACACAATGCAGAAATTTATATATTCATCTCACATCCTTCCACCTTGCAAAACATCTATTAGTCCTGATAATTCCTTAGTGCTTTGGAATTTATGCGACATAAGATCATCTAGTCATTGTTTAGTTTTTCTTCTTTTTGTCTTGTCTGGACACTTGATTTACCTGTATTTTATTTTATGTTTGTGGATGTTTTGGCTGCAGGTATGTCTGTACACCAAATGTATGTAGTGCTTGTGGAGGCCAGAAGAGGACATCAGATCTCCAGGAACTGGAGTTACAGACAAATGTGAAATTGCCTGTGGGTGCTGGGAATTTAACTCAGGCAATTTCAGGTCCTCTGGAAAAGCAGTCAGGCTTTCAACCACTGATCCACCTCTTCAGCCCAACATTTAATTTCTTTTTATTACATAGTTGCCTTGACTGCACTTTCAATACAATGTTGAAAAGAGGCAATGGGATCCAACATCTTGCCTTGTTCCTGTTCTTAGTGGGAAAATGTTCAGCATTTCACCTCTAGCTGTATTAGCTGAAGTTTTTCTTAGATGCCTTTTGTCAGATTTAGAAAGTTCCCTCTGTTTCTAGTTTATTGAGTATTGTTATTATGAAGATTTAGATTTCAGCAAGTAGGTTTTCTGTATCTATTAGATGACCATTTGGTTTTGTTCTTTTCTAATATACTGTGTTATATTAGTTGAATTCAGCTATTAAAGCAACCTTGGATTGCTGGGATAAATCTCCCTGTTCTTTTTATATGATGTTGGATTCAGTTTGCTAGCATCTTTTTGAGAATGTTTATGCCTATATCCAGAAGGGGATCTGGGCCTGGGGATATAGCTCAGTTGGTAGATTGCCTGACTAGCATGAAGACGCCCTGGATAAACTGCGTAAACCACGCATGGTAATTGTAGCACGTGGGAGGTATAGGCAGGAAGATCAGAAGTTCAAGGCTATCCTCAGCTACCCAGCTAGTTCAAGGTCAGTCTGAGCTACATGAGAGTCTATCATAAAAGAGAAACCCACACAAGACAAAAACAAAACAAAACAAAAAACTCAGAGAATTACTGCTCTGTAGTTTTCATGTCTTGTGATGGCTTTATCTGGTTTTGGTACTAGGTGATCCTGGCCTTGTGGCTCTGCTCTTATATTTTCTGGGAGAGTTTGTATATGGTTCATGTTCTTGGGAATCTAATATTTAAAGGATGAATTACTTCAGTTGCAACAGCAGGAAGTGGAAACAACCTGGACGAAGGTGAATTCTTGTGGGCTTGTTTTACTGGGGTCTGTGCACAGAGACACAGAAGGTAGAGGGCAGAGCAGGGCCCATAAAAAAAGTTGAAGGTAGGAGTAGGACTGATTTAGGAAGGACTAAAGTGTTGGGAGGCAGAGGCAGGAGGATTTCGAGGTAGAGGAAAGCCTGGGAGGCCCTTCCCTGCTACCCCTCCCCCCCAAAAAAAAGTCAGGACTGTGTCCATACCATTTAGAATAAAGAAGTGATGGGAACGCTGTGGAAGGTGATGAAGGGAAATTGGTGGAGAAAGGGAGAGGTGTGGCTGTGGAGCAGTGGAGAGAGGGATCCAAAGGGTGGCTAGAGGAAGGAGGCAGCTTAGTATTCTGGGTAAGATGGCAAGTGCTCCTCCAGAAACCAATGCACCAGGCAGCCAGACTGCTGGAGTGAGAAATCTGCAGGGACTTCAAGGCTGCGTGCAGTAGGAAGGGACCTGGAGAGCTTGCCTGATAGAGAGGCTTGGACACCAGGGTGAAGCGCCTGGATGGGCATGGAGCCTGAGGAAGATATCAGAGCTGCCACTGAAGAGCAAATGTGCCTTTCTCTGTCACGGGTGGCCCATCTTGGGGCAGCCTGTATTATGGTGGGAGTTGGAGGATACTTATTGGGGGAACAAGGGCTTTTTTAACCTTGGGCAAGCAGGGACACTCTTCTGGGACTGATACCCAGAGGAGCCCAAGGAGGTGAGAACTGCCAAGGGCTGGACCCCTGACTGTTCGGGGGAATTCTGTCCGAAGGGAGACCCACAGAGTGGAACTGGCAAGGTGGCATGATGGGGATACCATCAGAAGAAGTAGGGTGCCCTGTTACAGAAGCTCATGCAGAAGGGCCGAGCTAGGTGGAGATCCACAGGCGGGGACTTCGGGATCCTCAGGTGTTGGGAATCTGAGCGGGATTTACTCTGCATCGGCAGCTTCCTTGTTTGTGTAGACAGCTCTTGATTCTGGACCGTATGGGAGCCAGTTCCCGAGTTTCCACTTCTGGTGGCCCACTACCCGTGGTGGGTGGAGAAACTGACGTGTGGAGGGGCGGGTTCGCTTCCTCACCTGGCCCCTAGCCCTTGCCCCGCCGCCCGCGAGGGGAGGAGCCAGTGGCCGCCCGGGCCTGGGGCTCAGCGAGCATGGCGGGCTCTGGGTCGCGGCCTCGGAGCTGGGGTTGGCGGGAGACGGGCTCCAAGGACGAGGCTGCGGCCGGTGGGACCGGCTCCGGACCCTGTTGTTGCGCACAGGGGAGGAGGGCGCTGGCCGCCCCCCGGAAGCCGGCCGTGCCTGCCGCGTGGACATCGTGAGTACTGATCACCGAGCTCGGGATCTGGGACCCCAGCCCTGGGTCTGAGCACCCGCACTCTTCTCAGGCTTCCAGTCCACAGACCTAGGCCCCCAACCTCTGCACCACGACCCAGGACCATGAGTCCCGGGAGCCCCAGGCGCTCTCTCGCGTCTACCCAGAACAAAGGCGAGTGTGGGCCAGCCAGAATCGGCCGGCCGGGGGCTCCAAGACTGGCGTTCGGTCTGTTCATCTGCCAGCACCTCTCATGGATGGGCGTGGGCACCTCCTTGCACCACACAGCTGTGCTAGGACCCGCGGTCCCCCCATGGCGTTTGCACGGGGGTGTGGTCGCGCCATTGTTCCGAACCTCCGCCTGCAGTTCGGGGACCAACGGCCCTGACCTTGCCCCTGCTCCTGCTGGCCGGGACAATGGACCAGGTGCTTCTCTGGTGTTTAAGGATCTGGTGTGGCTGGTGGGGGCATGGGGGGAAAGGCGTAGCCAACGGACCCTGTCAGAGGGCTAAGGCAGCCTGTGAACTTAATTCCCTAACACACAATTTGATGGAGTGAGCACGACAGTTGCCAAGAGCTTGAATGATTTCCATCCTTTTCTCTTTCATTTTCTGATGCTCTAGATCTCCCCGCCTCAGCCTTCCAAATGCTGAGCTTCCAGGCTTGGGACACCTCCGGCCTGGAAGGTTTTCTGTATATGTATTGTATATGTATCTGTATATGTATATGCTTTCTGTGTATGTATAAGGTTGGCACTATAGTAATAGGGATCTCTGCATCCTGCCCTTCTGGACCTGGCCTTAGCCACCCCATCTTGTTCAGAGCAGGCCACTGACCTTGTCCCCATGCAGCTCCTCAGGGGTCCCAAGATGGAGCTGATGGGATGAGTAGGGGCACCAACAAAACAATGCCAGTTTAGGGAGCTAATGTGACTGGTACCTGGGGTTCCCCACAGACAGAAGCCTGAGTCCTGATACCCTGGGCTGATAAAGCAGATACTAACAAACCTGTCAAATGGTCTTCATGGCACGGATGACAAGGGTGTGCTGAATCCGCTCTGTCTTCCCAGTTTATAGCTCTAATAACTGAGGCTGGATATGCTCCAGAAAGCCCAGGTCCTTGACCCTGGAAAGTGGGGACTCTTGGCTTGCTCTTCTACTGTCTGACCTTACAGCTTCCAACGGGGGAGAGACAGAAGTTGCTGAGTGAGGGTGGACAGCTCAGGACCTTACTTCCTCTCCACTGAAGGTCAGACCTGGTGGAGAAGGTGCCGAGAGCCTGCCTCAGTCCTGTAATTATGGAACAGACACTTTCAAGGGTGCCCCCTGTTCCAGGAAGCCATCCCTGACTCCCTACCTAAGACAAGCATCTTGTGAGCTCAAGTGGCGTTGGAACCATGGGTAGATATGGCATAAGGCCTGATGTACTCAGGTTAGGGTTTTCTGCGTTCAGTCATTCCTGCCCCAGCCTGTATGGGGCCATGAGCTCGATGAACTCATGATGGTAAAAAGGATGGTTCTCAGTGCTCTGGAGTCAAGCATATGGCCAAGAGGACTGGGAACTGACTATATAGCGCTGTCAACCCTGGAGTCTCACTCAGAAGCCTGAGGATTTAAGAGTTCTCCATGGACCTGACCCTCCACACTGCCTTCTAGGTCTTGGCAGTGCTCTCCCAGGACCCCCTGCCATGTTGTTCCCTGCTGCTTACCCTGGATGAGTCCTGTCTCTTTTGTCTCTTGTAGCTTCATGGCAGCTGAGGAAATGCATTGGCCTGTCCCCATGAAGGCCATTGGTGCCCAGAATCTGCTGACCATGCCTGGTGGTGTGTCCAAGGCTGGCTACCTGCATAAGAAAGGCGGCACCCAGCTGCAGCTGCTCAAATGTGAGTCACAGGATCGTGGGGCTCTCAAAGGGAGCCATGGCCCTGCTTCTGCCCTGCTCTAATGGGCCTTCTGGGATTTCTCTTCCTTTTCTGGCACTGGCACACCTGGGGAACCCGATGTCAGTTTCCTTAGCCTGTTCTTGTCACGGGGTCCAGCATAGCGTAGCTAGGCAGAGAAAGGATGATCCTTTGGTATATATTACTAACCAGCTAGTCATGAGTGCTCAGGCTGGAGGGCCTCAGAGTGGCCTGATAGATCTGGCCCCTTGATGCTGTTCTTGCCTTGTGCGTGAGCTGTGGGTGAGTTGGTTAGTCACACAGAATGAACTCATGTGCCAGGTCAGGAGCCAACTAAGTCAGGATGCTGAAGGCAAAGAGCACTTAGAGCCTCGCCCAGCTCAGATCAGCCATGGACACTCCATGCTTTTGCCCCTGCAGTGCCCTCTACCAGGACTTTGCCCCTGTGTTGCCTAGCTGAGGTACTCTGGACTGTTGGACCCTGTTGCACATCAATGCATAAACAACCTCTAAGGAAAGACCATAAGTAACCTGTCCCTGGACCTGGGAAGGGCTTTTCTGGGCAGTAACAGTAGAGTTTGAGAACAGCTCCACCTCAGTGCCCCTTATCAGCCAACTCTGGGTGCCCAAGGTCTGCTCTCTTTGCTCTTTGCCCTGCCAGTTACCCCCAACGCCCAACCCAGCCCTATGGCTCCAAGCAAGGCTGCTGTGGCCTCCTCAGGCCTCTGGTCCAGGCTCCACCCTTTGTTATTCTCCCATGAGTCCTCAAGCTACCTTTTTTCTTTGGGTGGCCAGGCCTTCCCTGGGGTGGTCCCCCAAGACTTTCAGTATGCCAGTGAACTTGTTTGTATTTGACCCCAAAGAAAGAAAGGCATACCAGCTCAGCACCCCGCTCTCCCTTCTGCAGTCTCAGAGGTCTGCTCCCACGGTGCCCGTGGCCTCTGGGGAGAACCCCAGAGTGGAGCCGACTGGTTTTTCTGTGCCTCACCCCTGTTGCTGTGTTGTTCCCAGGGCCCCTACGCTTTGTGATCATCCACAAGCGCTGCATCTACTACTTCAAGAGCAGCACATCCGCCTCCCCGCAGGGTGCCTTCTCGCTGAATGGCTACAACCGGTGAGTTGTAGCTGACCTGCTGACCAGCCCCATGTCAGTCGTCTTCCCTCTCACCCCACCGCAGAGCCTATCCCTAGCTTTTCTGAGATGGTCTTCATCTGCTTGCTGGCTGATACCCCACATCCTACCTACCCTGGCCTTTGCTGAGAGCAAAAGGTGGGACACGATGTATAGGGTGAGGCCTTTATTAGGGGCTTCTTGGGGCTTCAGGTCCCAAGGGCCTGGGTAGCTTGCTCTGCAGAGGTTCCATTGAATTACCACCTTGTAAAATCTTTGCTCAGCCTCTGCTCCTGCTCCTCAGTCACCACAGCCCTTTTCCAAGGAGCTCAGAGTCTGTCCATCCCAGGCTGTCCTAAATTCAGGCTCTTCATGGACTTTGTGGCTCTAGGGTCTTACCAGGTCCCATTTCAGGTCCCTGCTACATTGGTACTATGGGCTAGGCCAGCCAGCCAGAATTCACAAACTTGCCCTCAAGGGCTTCTAGACTAATAGGCAGAAATAACCTGAGCTAATGCCTACATGCTGGCCTATCGCTTACCTTGAGTGACTTCCTGTGGCCTTGGGAAATGTAGGGTATCCAGGCTCTATACCTTGTAGCGTTAGACTGAGCCTTTCACCACCTCATAAAGGGCAAGCCCCTCCTGCTTGTTCTAGAGTTGCTCTGGGTCTCTGCTTTACCTCAGATAACATCTTGATGAGCCAGCCTTGCCAAAGCAGCCATGCCAGGTCCCAAGTCCAACCCTAGGCACTAGCTAATCAAAGCTCCTCTCCCTAGTCACTTTCCCCAGACTGGTGGCCCTCCTGCTGTGCCAGCCAATCCGTGAACTCAGCCCGTTGATAGATGTGATTGTACCCCAGAGATTGTCCAACCCAACTGGCGGGCTGAGCCTGAGAGGCCCTGGCCAGGACCTGTGATAAGCCAGGCAGGTACCCTGGCCTAGGTGCCCAGCCAGCAGGACTCCCCCCAGGCCGACTGATCTCAGAGAAAGCCCTGCCTCAGGGAACAGGCCACAGAGTGGAGAGGCAGTCCAGCATGTGGCAGAGCTGGGGAGTGGTATCTTTTTGATGACGCTGATGGGCAACGAGAGTGATGGGACCTTGTCTGTGAGGCCTGCACACTGCTCTCCTGGGAAGAGCAGTGTATACTTACACCCCTCTGTCTCCCTGAAGCATCTAGGCATTCTACCGAGAGCATGAGCAGGCAGAGACTGTCCAGATTTGCCCATATTCCCCAGGCCATGATGCTGAGTGCTGATACCAATTCAGGGGTGGGGTTGATGAGCCCATTCCTTGAGAGTGGACAAGCTGGTGACTTGTGGCAATGTGCCCTCAGAGTGATGCGGGCAGCGGAGGAGACGACGTCCAACAACGTCTTCCCTTTCAAGATCATTCACATCAGCAAGAAGCATCGCACGTGGTTCTTCTCAGCCTCCTCTGAGGATGAGCGCAAGGTGATCAGGAGGTAGCAGGGCTTCAGGAGCTGGGCAGGTCCTGCCTGAAGTGGCACACTGACTACCGGGCCCTGGCCTCCCATCAGCTCCAGGCAGGAGGCTAGGATCCTGAAGAGAAAGATGTGGTTGGGGTCTGGGCATCCAGGTGGATCAGCCCCACAGCCTGGTGCCTGTATACACCATGAGAATATGCCAGCAGGGTATAGTCCCAAAAGGGCTAAGGGGCAGCTGCTGCCCTAGAGGGTGATTTCAAATCTGAGCCGCACAATCTAGTCTGGACCTAGCTAGGAACCAAGTAGGCTCCTCTCCCTGGACCTTGATGGCTACTACATAGCAGCTAGACAGCGATGAGGAGAGGGCGGAGTGGGACCCTGTCCTAGGCAACATCATGCTTACTATGGCTGTTCCTGACCCACAGAGCTGGATGGCCTTGCTACGCAGGGAAATCGGCCACTTCCATGAGAAGAAGGAAGTATCTCTAGACACCAGGTATGCTGAAGGATGTGATGGGTGGGTGGTAGGCCCTGGGGCTTCTTGGCTCCTATGGCCCCTTCCAGTCCTGGAGGCTTGGCTTAGAATCACTCCCGTAAGGTTTTTGGAGGTGCCAAGCAACCTTCGTGTATGTAGAAGCGCATGCTGCGTACATAATCGTGTCCAAGTGTGGGTACACCATCTCTGTTCTTGTCTGTCCTCTAGCTCTGTCCATGTTTCAATCTGTTATACTTATTTGTAACTCCTATTTGGGGCTCCTCCATGTTTTTCCCCTCCCCTGCCCTGGAGGCCCAGCATTGACAGCTCAGAGCTTTGGGTTCCTATCTCCCTGGTGTCTGCTCTGTCCCTTGGGGGAGCTCAGTCATTCCTGGTCTCAGCATCCTCACCCATGAGGTGGCCCAGCAAACAGCAGGGGCTCTCGAGGGAACATAAGCCAATCCTATCCTAATCAATGAAACTGAGGTCCAGAGAGGGTTGGACACTCTCAAGGCTGTCCTGAGGTTCTGGACTGAATCCAGAGCTCCTGGCCATCAGAGAGGTAGACATGTGGACCCAGCTCTGAGGCCTCTAGCCAGTCAGGGTGGCAAAAGCCACAGTGGGCCAGGGAGGTGGCCCCCATGGACGGTCCCGAGCTTTCAGTCCCTATGTTTGTCCTTGAATTGCATGTATACACATGTCTAAATGTCTCTCTATATGACGTTTGTGAGGGGTTGGCCTTGCGTCTGTATATGTTCATATCTGTGTGTGCCTATGGATCCCCAAGTGGGTGTGAGCATCTGTGGTGTTGGGAATGTTCCTGTGTGCACGGGGCACCACGTGCAACTGCAAGGGAAAAACCTAGTTTAGTGCTCAGAGCCTGTTCCTTGCTCTCAGTTTCAGTGACTCTAACTCAGACACGGACAGCTTCTATGGTGCAGTTGAGAGACCTATAGACATCAGCCTCTCTTCATACCCCACAGACAACGAAGGTAAGACCACCTCTGCGCCTGCCATGAGTCCACGTGACTGCTGACAGTAGAACCCACTTGGGCTGCCTAGGAGAGAAAAGCATGCTTGGCTTTGCTCCCTGCCCTGGTCTCTGGCCTCTAGCAGTGCAAGTTCAGGTTTTAAATCCTTCCTCTTCATCCTCAACCCCATATCTTCTTGGTGCCCCCGTTTTTATGAGTGGAGCTCTGTGCTACAGCATAATGGGCCATACCACCCTGTTCTGCATGAAAGTGGGCCTGACTATGTTGTGTCTCATCTTCCATTCATTACATGTAGACTATGAACATGAAGATGAGGACGACTCGTACTTGGAGCCTGACTCCCCGGGACCCATGAAGCTTGAAGGTAGGTAGGGTAGCTGGGCCTGGGGGTCTCCTTGGTGGGTAGGGAACTGGGGGACTGGGACCAAGAACAGAGCCTCTCCTAGGCTGGTGGGTCTTGTTTGTTTGTTTGCTTTGTTTTTGAGACAGGATCTCTTTGCAGCCCAGGCTGTCCTGTATATTTCCTGACCAGGCTGGCTTTAAACTCAGATCTATCAGTCTCTGCCTCCTGAGTTAAAATTCAAAACATGTACCACCACACCTAGCAGGCTGTGGGTCTTGCTCTGATTGGTATCAGTTTCCTTGCTGTGATCCAAGTATTCAGAGGTTTGGGGCTGGTTGGCTTTGCTTATCTGCTCCTGCCGCCTCCCAGGTTAACCTCATGTGGATGGAGGGTCAGGGTGGAGGGGTGGTCCTGGAGGCTGAGGCTGAAAATGAAGGATCATTGAGAGGTGGCTTGATCTTAGGTAGGTCCATTGCCCATGGCAACAGGTTCTCTGTAGATCAGAGCTGTAGGCCAGGTTGTCATCCGTGGCCTCAGTGTTCACTGCACTGCCTGAAGCACACAGTCTCCAAGGCAGATGAGCATACAGACAGCCATATGTGTGAGTGGCAGGGAAGGTCAGGCCTGGGTAGGAAGGGCATGTCTTTGTCTTGCCCTCTGGCCTTCACCTCCTTATATCTTGTAATTTCCTTGCTTCCTCTTCTCAAAACACTCCAGCGTTGTCTTATCTATCATTATGTCTTGGGATGATCTCCCATCTTCTGTTTTTCATTCTCCAGTGACCTAACCTTTGCTTCCCATGTCCTTCTTTCACCTTCCTTGTTCCCTTGCTTTGGGTCAGCTCTCCCGACACTCCTTCAGCTACCAGACCATTGACTTTTATTTCCTACCTCCCACACAGCTTGCCTCAGTCCTCAACTTGACTACCCAGCTCCAAAGAGTGGGGAAAGTGAAGTCTCTGTCCTTGAGAACATACAGTGGGCCTTCAGCCTCCACTGAACACTCTTTGCCACTCTCCCTCCTACTCCAGACCTGCCCTACTCCTCACTGGCCTCATTCTTCCAGGTGCCTGGCATTCTGGCCCTTCTTGCTCTTCTGTCTCCTGTGTTTACATCTTGAGAAACATCCCCGTCCCTCCCTGTGGCTGAGGGACACTCGGGCCTCAGGCCTCACTCGTCTCCTATCATTCCCACTGATCCTGGGCCTACTGTCCTGATGGTCCATATGACATTTGGGCTAGATGTCACACAGTGCCTTTAGTTTGTTATAAACACAGGCTTTCATCTTCATCCCAGTGGTCTGGCCATTCCCGCTCACCTCTGTTGTTCAGAATTCACCTTTCCCCTTGCTCAGGTGAAAGCCTGGGAGTCCTTATCCTGCTTACCTGTGGGAGTTTTGAAAGCTCTTCATCTGACACTTACGTTGTAGAAACCTTGTATGGGCTGACTTCAGGGGGATGGACAGGGAAGGCCTGGTAGCACTGGTGGTCTGGGCCTAGGGAAAGCTGGGTGGTGGGCTAGATATTGGGCATGAGGTAGGGCGAGGATGAGGCCATGAAGAATGCGTGCTGAATCAGCTGCTGCTGGCAGGCTGAAAGTGTGACAGTGAGGAGAGCATTTCTGGTTGGCCCCTGCTGCCTGTTGCTAATATAGGGTGGTGGTGGTCCAGCCTCTGTGGGATACCAACTTGCTTTCTTTTTGTTATTGTTGTTCTGCAGATGCCCTGACCTATCCACCAGCCTACCCACCACCCCCTGTACCCGTACCTCGGAAGCCAGCCTTCTCTGACTTGCCCCGTGCTCACTCCTTCACCTCCAAAAGCCCAAGTCCCTTACTGCCACCCCCACCCCCTAAGCGAGGCCTACCAGACAGTGGCCCTGCCCCTGAGGATGCAAAGAAAGAGCCATTGGGCCTGGTGCGAGTAGAACCTGGCCTCAGGGTGCCTGTCACCCCTCGGAGGATGAGTGACCCCCCATTGGGCAATGTACCCACCGGGCCCAATCTCCGGAAACATCCTTGCCTCCGAGACAGTGTGAGCCCCAGCCCAGAACCCTGGACCCCTGGCCATGGGACTAGCTCTGTCTCCAACCCTGCCACCGTGGCCATTGCCACCTCTAGGAACTGTGACAAACTCAAGTCCTTCCACCTGTCTTCCCGAGGGCCACCCACATCTGAGCCCCCTCCTGTTCCTGCCAATAAGCCCAAGTTCCTGAAGATAACTGAAGAAGCTTCTCCGAGAGAGGCAGCCAAGTCTGCACCCTTTGTGCCCCCGGTAGCCCCCAGGCCTCCTGTACAGAAGATGCCCATTCCTGAGGTTACTGTTCGGCCTGCAGTGCTGCCCAGACCAGAGAAGACACCTCTCCCCAACCTCCAGTGAGTCTGGCTTGCCTCATGCCTCTGCCTACCAGCCAATAGGTTCCCTCAGCCTAGTTTATTCTCTATCCAGTACCCCTTACATTCTGAGAGGAGGCAATAGGTACAGGGTGGAAAGGATTTCCTCGAAACCCTGGTCTCCCCTACCCCTGTCTGATTCAGGGGTACAGAGGTGTCCAGCCTTGCCCATCCTGATGTGAGTTTATATCTCAGGCCATGTGTGGCTTCCTTTAATTATCCCCCCAAGACCTGGAGATTAAGCTTAAGAGGACCACCTGCTACCTGTGCAGTGGGCTGGGCTCTTCCCATAGATGCCCCTCGGAGTCAGAGTGCATTGTTCAGCCTCCTCCCATCTGTCTACCTCCTTGTAGCTTTAAGAGACCTGTGACTTTGCCAGAGTCCCAGAGCCAGTCAGTAGTAGATCTTGGACCTGGGCATTGCACTTGTCCACTCTATGATAACGCCTGAACTCAGGTGCCCAGCACCCCTGCTCAATGGTATTAATGGCAGTCCTGATTTCCTAGTTGGACTTTTAGGTCTAGGGTAACTCTCCAGCCTCCTTTGGGCAGTGACCAAGGGTCTCAGAGCTCTGCTGTCCTGAGCAGTTACAGTCACAGCGGCCAGAGAAGGCTGGCATCAAGAGTCTGGGTCATGTGTGGAGGGGAGGAGAGGGTGGTCTATCTATGTCTAAGGGTGCTAATATTCTTGTCTTTGTCTTTATGGTTCCAGGCGATCGCCCCCCGACGGACAGAGCTTCAGGAGCTTTTCCTTTGAAAAGGCCCGTCAGCCCTCACAGGCTGACACTGGCGAGGAGGACTCAGATGAGGACTATGAGAAGGCAAGCCCGAGTGGAGGGCGCAGGTCCCACAGTCAGCAGGCGGAAGGACGTGGGAGAGCTGTAGGCTGGGGCCCCCTCACTGGCTGTCCTGAACAAGGGGCTCCTAGGTTTGAGGGGGATGGGGCACCATGCGAATTCCTGCCTCCCGACGAAGGCAGCAGCCAGTTGGGGGAGCAGCGGTGTGTGGAGGGACCGCTCTTGCCTTGACCACGGTTGGCCTCTTTCAGGTGCCGCTGCCTAACTCAGTGTTTGTCAACACCACAGAATCCTGCGAGGTGGAAAGGTCGGTGCGAAGTGCTTCTTGTACTTGCTGTGTGTAGCACAGTGTGAGGCCTTGTGTCTCCTTTACTCACTGTGGTGCTGGGCAAGCCCAGCGGGAAATATGATAGCAGTGGGTCTGGATGTTTTGTTGTTTTGTTGTGTCTTAATTCTCATAAGCCCCTCTAGCTTTATATTCTCTATTACAACCTAAAACCAAGAGTGGGCAGAGAGCCAAGCAATAGAGTGGGGCTAGTGGGCACCTGTGAAAGCTGTCTGGGGAGGTTCACCCACCAACCTGACTGTTTTATTTTAGGTTGTTCAAAGCTACGAACCCCCATGGAGAGCCTCAGGATGGGCTGTATTGCATTCGGAACTCTTCTACCAAGTCAGGGAAGGTAGGGCAGCTGCTGCAGGACAGCTGGGCCACCAGAGCCTTCTGTCCTCTTACTTGGTACCTCAGGTTGAATTCTTTCTTGGGGGGAGTCCCTGCCCAGCAGCACATTCTCTCTCTGTTCTCAGAACTAAATGATGTCTGCAAATTGGGAGTGAATATGACTGCCTTGCGATGGAGCCATAGAGTGTGGATAGGGTTTGCAGAGGCCTAGGGAGGCTGTGTGGGACAATGGAAGTAGCAAGAGGTTGAGTGGCTCCATTAACACCATGCCTCACTTACCTCACTCATGAAGACGTGGCTCCCAGAACCCATCGGGGGTTCTCTAAGCTGAGATAACCCCCAGGGTGAGGCGCTATCTTTGAACAGGTGACTGTAGCCGGACCCTGACTCACATTACCCCCAAGCACTTCAGCATCTAGCCCCTGTCATTGCTGCCACCCTCTTCAGGCGTTGGTGGCCAGCCCTGCAGCCGCCTCTAAGCCTCTGCTCCGTGCTTCCCTTCCTGTAGGTCTTGGTCGTGTGGGATGAATCCTCTAACAAAGTGAGGAACTATCGCATCTTTGAGAAGGTAAGAGACTAGGCCCTGCTCCGAGGGTGCCCTGGGGACACTGGCCTCAAGGCTTAGCAAGAGCCAAGTGAGCCCCCTGAAAATGGAACTGGTACCTCTATAACATCATCCCTTCCCTGTCCTTTGCCATTTGTGCCTTCCTCATGGTCTCACCCCGCCCCCCAACCTTGTTTTGTCCTTAGCTTACTCCAGAAGTGCTGTGTAGCCCTCTTTGGCCCTTGGATTTATTCACAGACCTTGTCCTGAGAGCAGGCCTCACATTGGACCCTTGGGAACAGAGGAGCATGGGAACAGGCCCATTGTGTGGACAGACAGACAGGAAACATGGGCAGGAGGGAGCAAGCCTGACTATTGGGGCCATTGTCACTACTGACCTTCCCTTTTGAGAAGCCAGGGGAAGGAGTGAGTCAGATATAGGCCTGAGGTAATGGGCTAGTCAGGCCCTGCTGAGCAGGCTTCCTTCTTCCCTGCAGGATTCTAAATTCTACCTGGAAGGTGAGGTTCTGTTTGGGAGTGTGGGCAGCATGGTGGAGCACTACCACACTCATGTGCTGCCTAGCCATCAAAGCCTGCTGCTGCGGCACCCGTACGGCTACGCTGGGCCCAGGTGACATCCCTTCCACACAGCTGTTGGGCGGAAGCATCCATGGGGCCACAGCCCTGCCACAAGGATGGAGACCAGCTTGCATGGGAAGGCGAACAAGAGTGGGCTTGACATCAGACCTTACCAACAAGACACCTAGCCTCAGTGAGCAGGCTGGGTCCCAGGCTGGAGGAGGCCACAACTACTAGAGGACTGGCTAGCGGACTCGGCCCTTCCATGTCCCACCTCTCAAGAACTCAGGTTGGGTGACTAAGTGCTGCCTGGGCTTTGATGACAGAGAATCCGGTCTCCATAGCATGCCCACCTGGTAGTGGGCTGGGACCAAGCAAGGCTGGGATGGTCGATGGGGCCTAAGGCTGGTCCTTAGGCATGCTAAGACAAAGGCTCAAGGAGGTATGATTGCCTCTCAGCAAATCAGAAGTGTCTTTTGTCTCAATGGCCAGGGTATGATTGGCACAGAGGGGGCAACAGGCTCTACTGAGCACCACAAATGCCCAGGGAGAGAGCTGCTGATAGCAGCCCTAATGGGTGGTCTGTAGTCTTCTAGGGCAGAGGCTGCTAAGTGAGTGAACTATCTGGGAGTCACAGCTAATTAATAGATCCATATCCACCTGGATCAGTCTTGGCTGGAGCCTGAACTTCAAAGCCCCGGTTAGCAGTTACTGAGTGACTGCGTGACTGGCCTGGGACTGGAGCTGGCTGTTCTGTGAGCAGCCACAAGTCCTGCCTGGCTAAGCTTCGCCTAGAGCAGGCAGTGATTTGGAGGTGCTGCTGGAGGTGCAATGTTCTGGGAAGCTGTGCAGGAAGGAGCCTGGAGCTTGGAATCCAGTAGGAGGTGGGGGTGGTCCAGGAAGACTTCTGACAGGAAATGCTGACTAGAGTGAGGTGGGACAGGCCAAGGATGTGTGGGGAGAGTGGCATTCAGGTGTCCAAGTAGTTTGGGTGATCCCGATTGGTCCCCTCAGTTTCTGCCATGAAATCCTACCAGGCCACAACCATCCCCTGGTGCAACCATCTAGACTGGACTTTTGTTGTGAAAATAAATGTATCTGGAGATGCAGAGACCTTGCATCGCCTGGCTCCACTGCGTTGTATTGGAGAGGGTTATTCTTTAAATTTTTATTTTATTATTTTATGTGTGTGAATATTTTGCCTGCAGGTGTGTCTGTGCATCGAGTGCCTGGGTGCCCAGGGGCCCAGAGGAGGGTGTCAGATCTCCTGGGACTGGAGTTATGAATGGCTGGGAGCCACCATGTGGATGCTGGGAATTGAATCAGGGCCCTTTGGACAAGCAGCCACAACTCTTAACCGTTGAGCCATCTCTCCAGAACAAGGAAAGGTGTGCTCCTTGTTTACTGTGCTCCTGATTACTGTACTTGTGCTCAGTAATCAGGGACTGCTGTCTGGTAAGAGGGGCTTCCCCACCCCCACCCCCACCTCCAGACAGGGTTTCTCTGTGTAGCTTTGGCTGTCCTAGACTCGCTTTGTAGACCAGGCTAGCCTTGTACTCACACTGATCTGCCTGCTCCTGCCTCCCTGAGTGCTGGAATTAAAGGCGTGCGCCACTGCACCCAGCTAAGAGGGGCTTTTGTTTGGAACCCCCAACCCTTGCTGTGTTTTGAAGGTGTGTGGTGGACTAGATGAGTCAAATTCTGGAGGTGGTAGGCTGTGGCCCCAGGGCATCATGGGGTTTAGTGAATGACACACACTGGATTCCAGTGGCCATCTGCTTCCAGGAACCAGAGTCCACCTCCATCTTTGCAGATGTTTCCTTTCAGCCTGCCAGAGGAAAAGGATCTGGATGCCACGGCCAAGTTTAGAGTATATGGAACTTTTGATACTCTGAATAATCCCTAGAGGACCAGACATTTTTCCTCCCTTTCTGTCCTAAACTCAATCAGGGACTGGAGTCATGAAAATGGCTACAGAGACCATTTATTCTCTTTCCCTCTCTTGTTCTTTTTTCGAGACAGGGTTTCTCTGTGTAGCCCTGGCTGTCCTGGAACTTACTCTGTGGACCAGACTGGCCTTGAACTCAGAGATCTACCTGCCTCTAGCTTCCAAGTGCTGGGATTAAAGGTGTATACTACCCCCACCCAACCACAGTGTCCATTTCTATAAAATATAAAACAGGACTGGATGAGAGCTAGTTTTGATCCTGTGCCAAGGAGTCTGCTGAGTGTGTGGTGTGCTGTGGAACACCTGCTTTGGAGATCAGCTCAGTGGCTAATGGATTGCTAGCCCTGGACTAGAAGATTTAGGGATTCCTCGGAGCCACATGAGGGATCCTTCAGGCTAACTAAACAGTTGACTGAACTGTGGATGTCCAAGGCTCACTTAAAGGTTCCTATACAGCCTTGTCTTATCTCTTGGACTCTGGACCAGCTGGCACAGCTCTACCTCTTCGACCTACCCAAGTCCAGGGTCTCATTTGCAGGATTTCGTACAGAGTCCTGGCCTTGGTCCTACAGGATGAAAGAGGAATTCACAACGTGGTGGCTACGATGTATTGAATGCTTCCAGCATTCGTGGTGCTAAGCTGGAGAAGTAGACCCATCTTTTAAGAGAGGGCTTAGGTTCTCCAGAAGCCTGAGTCCCAGCTTTTCTACTCATTGTCATGTGAATTCATCACTGCTTTTCTGCCTTGAGTCGAATCCATGACTCCTGCCCAGCTCCCTGACCCTTCTCTCAGCCACCACTAATCATTGTGGGTGTCTGCTCAGCTCTGTTTACCTCCCACAGTTCCAGAGGTGCCCTCACCCACCCCAGGAGCCACAGCTTTGGGGGAGCAAATTTGCCTTTTGGATCCCAGTGTGTGAGGCAGGGTTTAGGGGTGGGTAATAGGAGCTCCAGGTCCTGTCCTAGGGGTAAACTTATACCCTTCTTTCTACTGAGAGAGAAACTGGAGCCCAGACAGGACTCCCTGACTTGACTGCTATCCTATGTTCAGAGATGGCTTCTGTTTGGGGTTTGAGGAAAGGAGGTAGCATGAGAAGCATTCTTGAGTCAAGGCCCAGGGAGGGACACAGGTTTATGTTTCCTGTGGTTGAGCCTTTCTGCTCTCCGAGTTTGTTTAAATTTTTATTGGTAAAAGAGTTTTCATTGTTTATGATGCTAGGGATGGAACCCCACGGTCTTGCCGACGTTAGGCAAGTGCTCTACCACTGAGCTACAGCCCTGGGCCAGTAGCTAGAGACTTATACAAGTGCCGGTTGCTCCCATTCTGGGTCATGTTGCTAGGTGTGCCCCTAATGGACTGGATCCCCAGTTGCAGCTTCATCCCAAATGAAGGCCAACCTAATAGAAGAGGCTTTGAGAGTGACACATGCCCTGGAGGGAATGACCTACACAATGCCAGGGCCTATGGAGTAGATCTGGGACTTCAACGTAATCCACGTGTCTGGGGAAGGGGAAGGGAACACCTGTCTGATCCTCACTGACCCCTTGCCTGCATCCTGCAAGCGTCTAGGAGCATCTTTTCTTCCCTTTACCTGGCTATGGAGTCCTTAAGGAAACCTCCTTTGCTTGGAGAAGGGACAGTGGCCTTTGGTGGTGCCATAACACCACACTATGAAAGTATATGCAGGTGGTGAGGGAGACTGGGGAGGCAGAGCAGAAGTCTGACTCATCTGTGCCTCTGCACATCCTTTGTGAGTGCCACAGGAACCTTCGCCGGTGTTCAGCTTCCTGATCGCTGCCTTTGCTCTGCCTGAGCTGTGTCCCTAACATGTCCTGAGCTGCTCTGAGCTCAAGCAACTCCTTCCCCTCTTCATTTCCTGTAAAATGAAACATAGAAATGTAAATAAACTACAAACGTGCAGGGTGGCGAATTGCGAAGGGAGCCTGTACAACCACCAAGGAGAACTCACCGCCCACAGACCCTCGTCAGCCCTGGCTTTGGTGAAGCTCATGTTCTTGTTTTTCTGAAAAATCTTCACCACCCAGTTATTCACCCATCCCAGTATTTTGCTGCTTTTGTGTTTTGTAGCAACAGAATTTTACAGATGCAATCTTTGGCATCTCACTCCTTTGGCTCATCAGAGTCATTCGTATTGCCACGCAGAGCTGACTTTTTTCAAGTTCATTGTTGAAACAGTTCCATTGTATGACTGTATCACTGCTCACAGAGCCATTTTACTGTCGATGGATGTCTGATAGTTTCCAGTTTGGGACAATTACAGATAGCGCTGCTAGCAGCCATCTTACCCAGGACGCATCATTTCTCTAGGGTTTGAGGGTCTTTTGCTGCTTTCCAGGAATGCTGCTCAAGAATGCTGATGAGAGAACCCCTTGGCTCTATACCTTTGCCAGTGCTTGGAGCTGCCAGTTTTTACTTGTGCTGGTCTGGGGGTGTAAAAGTACAGCTTTATTTTACATTTACTTATTTACTAATGAGAACAAGCTCATGTGTTTATTAGCCTTGCTAATCTTGTCTTCTGTGACGTGCCTATACAAATCTTGCCCACTTTTTTTTTTCCAGGCTGTTAATTTTTTTCTTATTAATGAACAGGCTTTTTAAAAAAGCTTATATTTTAAATGTGTTTTGAGTGTTTTGTCGAGTTTGTGTGTACCATATGTGTGCCATGTGTGTGCCTGGTGCCTACAGAGGTCAGAAGAGGACGCTGGATCCCCAGGAACTGAAATTATGGATGGTTGCAAGCTTCCACGTGAGTGCTGGCAACTGAACCCAGGTCCTCTGCAAGAGCAACAAGTGTACTTAACCACTGAACCAGCTCCCTCCCTCCACTCTTTTTGAGACAGGTCTCACTTGATCAAATCTTGGATCTATCCACCCACCTCTGCCTCTCATGTGCTAGGATTAAAGGTAGACACCACTACACCCCAGTCGATTTTGATGGTCTTGAGATTATCTGTAACTTGTGATATAAATATATTCTCCAATTTAGGCTTATCTTAATTGACTGTGGCATCTTCTGATAATCAGTTTTTTGTTGTTTGGTTGGTTGGTTTTGGTTTTTCAAGGGTTTCTCTGTGTAGCAGAGCCCTGTCTTAGACCAGCCTGGCGGTGAAATCACAGAGATCCTCCTGCCTCTGCCTCCCAAGTGCTGGTATTAAAGGTGTGTGGCACCATGCCCGGCTCAGTTCTTATTTTTGTTGTTTTGTTTACTTTTGTTTTTCTGTCCCAAAGCTTTGTGAATGCTAGCCAAGCACTTAACCACTGGGCACATGTCCAACCCAATTCTTACCCAGATCTCCTGTCTCCACCTCCCTGCTCTGGAATTACAAATGAATACTATAATGCCTGCCTTTATGGAACTAAACTTAGGTCCACCTGCATGTGTGGCAAATACTTTACCAGTTAAGCTGTCTTTCCAGCCCCCAACTTTTTTATTTGTAAGAGTTGAGGACCAGCCTGATGGGTCAGAGGGATGCTTTTTTTTGAAACCTAAGGATCTGAGTTTATACTGAGTTGTTAGGGCAGTGACTATTCTACTGAAGAAAGGCCCCCTCTCCAAAGCAAAAATTAATTTTATAGATACCAGGAGGGATAGGCCTTGTGAAGACTAATTTATTTAAGTTATCTGTCTATCTATCTATCTATCTATCTATCTATCTATCTATCTATCTATCTATCTATCTATTTTGAGGTAGGCTCTGGAATTTGTTTCCAGTTTGGCCTTAAACTCATAGAGATCTGCCTGGCTCTGATGCCTCTGTGCTGTGATTAAAGGCATGTACCATCATGTCCTGCTTATTAAAAAATAAGAAAGAAAACTTTTTGGAGGATGAGGTCTTATATATGTTATTCTGTTATCAAAATCTTGGGCTTGGGCTGGAGATGGCTCAGAGGTTAAGAACACTGTCTGCTCTTCTAGAGGTCCTGAGTTCAATTCTCAGCAACCACATGGTGGCTCACAACCATCATAATGAGATCTGGTGCCCTCTTTTGGCATGCAGGCAGAACACTGTATACATAATGAATTAAAAAAAAAAAAAGAAAAGAAAGGAAAGAAAGAAAAAATATCTTGGGCTTAAGTGATCTTTCTGTGTCAGCTTCCTGAGTAATTGGAAATATAGATATTATCCACTGCACAAATATCTATATTAAGTACATATAAATTA